TGCTGGTCTTCTCCATAACCTTTCTTCTTACGGTGTATCTGGAAACATCTTTAAGATCATTGAATCCTTCCTTTCCAATCGTAGTATAAAAGTTGTCCTCGATGGACAGCACTCTTCTTCTTATTCTGTAACCTCAGGGGTTCCCCAAGGTTACATTAACAATCTTCCAGATATTCTCACATCTAAGGTGGCATTGTTCGCTGATGATACTACCATTTATTCTTGTCACGATAAGAAACCAACTCCCTCTGATCGCTTGCAGGGGGCATCTGAGCTTGAAAAGGACCTCACTTCTGCTACAGCATGGGGCTCACAGTGGCTGGTGAACTTTAATTCAGATAAAACTCAATTTTTTTCAGCCAATCGTTATCGCAATAATTTAGACCTTCCTATATTTATGAACGGTAATGTACTCGATGAGTCTCCTACCCTTTATCTTCTAGGATTAACTCTTACTTCTGATCTTTCTTGGAAACCTTATATCAAATCGGTTGCAAAATTAGCATCTGCTAAAGTCGCTTCTCTTTATCGAGCTCGTCACTTTGTTACTCTGGATTCTATTCTCTATCTCTATAAATCTCAAATCCGGCCTTGTATGGAATACTGTTGCCATATCTGGGGTGGATCTTTTAATGATGCCCTTTCTCTTTTAGACAAGGTGCAAAAACGCATTGTAAACATAGTTGGACCTACTCTTGCAGCCAACCTTTAACCTCTGTCACATCGTCGTAATGTTGCTTCTCTTTCTCTTTTCTACAAATACTATAATGGGCACTGCTCTAAAGAGCTAGCGTCTCTTGTGCCATCTACAAAAATTCATTCTCGTGTTACTCGTCATTCAACTAAGTCTCATCCTTTTTCTGTTACTGTTCCTAAGTGCTCCAAAAACTCTTATTCGTCTAGTTTTTTTCCTCGAACATCAGTTCTTTTGAATTTGCTTCCTTCATCTTGCTTTCCTGATTCATATAATTTGCAATCTTTTAAGTTGTCTGTCAATCGTTATCTTGCTCTTCAATCTTCATCTTTTCTCTTCCAGTAACTTCTAACACTAATTAGTGGTTGCTTGCAGCCTTGTTGGAAGCGAAGATTTTGGACCAATATTAATAAAATTATTATTGGAAATAAGATATTATTATTTCAGAACTGAATTAAATTTAGAACTGTATTTTAAATTCAATTTCAAAGTATACACATATATGAACTATACACATATTTTTTTTCCATAGTTTTAGTTTATTATCATTATAGCTTTACTAAAGTTTATCTAACTTATATAAAAAGGGATTTCAACAGATCATGGATACTGCGCAAACTTATTGGTCAAAGAGAAGAAAAATAATTAAATCTGTCAACAAAATTATGTCCGATATTGATACAGAATTTTCTATTTCTATTAATAATAAAGATTTAAAAAAAAGTTAGTTTTTAGAGAAGTTCGAGTAGCGCCGGACATATAAAACTTTTTTTAAAGCTTTATAAGAATTAGAGAGAAGTGATCTAATTAATGCTGATTACAAACAACATGATCATCTTTTTGTCCTACAATATCATTAAAAGTATGAGTCTTAGACTCTTATTCTTTTAATGATATTGTAGGACAAAAAGATGATCATGTTGTTTGTAATCAGCATTTATTAGATCACTTCTCTCCAATTCTTGATAACTCCAAATATAATAACGATTCTGAGTTTAATATGCTGTATGTAAATTCAATAGATAGAGAAAAGTTGACTGAAAATAGTAGTTATGACGAATTTGTAACAAATAGTTGGGAAATGTTTATGAAGCAGGATTTAATTGAATCCATTAATGTAGAGTTATTGTCAAATGATAGCAGTGAGGAAAACGAACCTGATTTTGAAAATGAAAAAAGAGAGCTATCATTTGATTTGGGAATGTGGGCAGCATCATTTTCTATTCCTATGGTTGCAGTATCTTCACTTTTGGATATACTTAGAGTGTTGCACCCATCACTTCCAAAAGATCTGCGAATGTTACAAAAACACCTAGAGCAAGAACTGTCAAAACAATTGAAGGGGGCTCCTATTATCACTTTGGTGTTGTTAATTCATTGCAACACATAATTCATTTGCCTTATTTTTGTACAAGTCTTTGCTCTAAAACTCTATCACTTTCTCTACAAATTAATATTGATAGATTACCTTTACAGAAGTCAAGTACTCAACAATTTTGGCCGATTCTAGCAAGAGTATCAATCCCATTTTCAAGTAATTCATTTTGATTGGCTTGTTTTGCGGTCAAAGTAAATCAGTTAACTTGAATGAATATTTAAAAGATTTCATTGAAGAAATGTTAGAATTGGAAAAAGGTCCTTTTAAAATTGATGTAGATGGTACAAAATACTCAATAAACATTGGTATATCCTGCTTTGTTTTTGGTATTCCTGCAAGGGCATATAAAAAACAAACTAAAGGACATAGTGGATATTACAGTTGTAATAAGTGTATCCAAAAAGGAGAATGGCACAGTAAGGTTACATTTCTTAAAACTGATGCTCCACTTAGAATTGGTCATTCTTTTAATGAAATGACAGATGCTAATCATCACATTGGAGATACTCCACTTAAAAAATTGTCTATTGGAATGGTAAATCAGTTTTCACTTGATTTTATGCACTAGTGTGTCTAGGAGTAATGAAAAAGATTTTGATGTTTTTAATAAAAAGCCCTGTTAGTGATGGAATAATATGTGTTTCACTTATTTCATCACTAACAGGGCTTTTTATTAAAAACACTGCTTTTCAACGCTCTATGTATTTAAGTGACATGAAAGATGTAAGTCCCATTTGTTTTACAATATAATAATAAAAATTTATTTTTGTTTATATATACTTCTTTACTTTATTCTTACAGTTTACCATGTTTTGTCAACTTGTTTTTCAGGAGGTAATGGCAGTAATTCAATGTTGTAGTTTATTAAAGATATCCACTAGCTGCTTTGGTCTCAGGGAATAGGTGCCACAAAATAGGCAAAATAAGAAATGCACTCATATTAAATAATAAACACTGACCTATCTATCCATAATTATGGTTATTGAAAAGTGGAGGTAAGTAAAATGGTACCAATTCTATTATCATACTCTACCATCTATGCTTACATGTTTTGATTGATATGCCAAAAAAGCAAACACAGTGGGTAGCATTCATTTATACTTTATGATTAAAAAAAAAGTTTTAAATTACTTTTCAGGGTTCGAGCTCAAGCTAAGAAGAAGAACTACAAACGCCACAAACGATGGTGCATTAATCACTTCCTACGCCACAACATCTATATGTCTAATTGTACTTACATTTCACAAAAGGTTTGGTAAACCAGAGCTGAAAGCTGATGTTAATGAGCAGTAGCAGAAACAAGCCTGCATCGGACAAACCATTAATGCACCTCTCTCAGATGCCTTGACTTTTCCACTCCAAGAGATATATGATCTTCTGGAAATCAACTCAATTGCAAGATTCTGAGTAGTGATCAAGAACAGTAAGATATTTTTTGTTAATTTGTGTTTTTTTATATCTCTATTTTAATAAATTGTTTAATATTTTTTCTATATAATCTGTTATATAATTGTAGAAATAATAATTATATATTTTCTTGCTAACATACATCAATAAAATAACATAAATGCAGAGTTATTGTTGTTAATCAGAGTATTAGACTTTTTCTTCTGTGTCAATTTTTCATGTGCTGACCATTAAATTACCTTGCCTTTAGAGGCAGGAAAAGGGTTAGACCTTTTGTATGATGAATTTTTTTTTGGTAAATTATTGTGTAAAATTGGTATTGGTAAAAATATTGTGGAACTAAATATCCAAACAAAATAGAGTCCAGATCTCAAAATTAGGATACAGGTACCTAAGTAATTGGATCCAGATCTTGTATCCAACTATGTCCTACACATTAGGGTTTTACTCTGGTTTTAAAATTAAAGTGTCATATTTCTAAATATCTCAGATGTCCTTTTACTTTAAACTAAAAATTACAATGACACTCTCATTTTAACACCAGATTAAAACCCTAATGTATACACAGGTGATCTGTGTGATGGTGGATTAAAGTTTTATTTTGATAGATTTTTATTTTTTCTATTTTCTGTTAATCTCTGATTACTCTTGATATTTGTTTATGCAGGTGCAGTAAGAAAACTATCCCTAAGCGACAATTAGTCAACCGGAAAAGATGCTGCCAAAATGGCTATCAAGTTCAATTGACATGGATGGTCTCAAAAAAATCGCTAGGAGAGGCGTAGAGGAAAGTTCTTTAGAAGACATTAAATTTTTATATTAAATATAATGAAGTGTTTTTATAATGTGTTTATTTTCTTTTTTACATTGTTATTTTATTGGATATTGGTTGAGAATATTTATGGAATAAATTTCCTTTATATGACTTATGTTTTTTGAATTTTATTTCAAACAAACCGACATTTCTTTTATTTTAAAAAGATTATTTTGAAAAGAAATTCAGCGTAATATTCTATGTATTACAAGTTTGTTAGCATGGAAATGACAATTCTAAGCTCTTGTTGCCAAAAAAAATGTGCGAATATATAAATTGCCAAGAATAGCCAATATTAGGCTTGTATTGGCCGATATTGGGCTTGAATTAGCCAATATTGGGCTTGAATTGCCCAACGTTGGGCCAGTATTAACCTACACGCCCCATTAATGGTTGATGTTGGGCCATGATAAGCTAATCAAAACCAATAATCGAAGCCATGATTTATCCAGCAATCGGCCAATGTTTGCCCAATAAAGGACTAATTTGCGCTCCCCAATATTTGCCCAATGTTTGCGGCCAATATTTGCCCAATATAGTAGCCAATAATTGCCCAATCATGGCCCAAGGAATTTGTGCTATCTGGGGTATATAATGTAAACCTTTAATAATGTTAATTAGTTTTTTGTTTTTTTTTAAAGCGTGTTACTTTGTAAAAATAATAAAAAAAAAGAATTGCAAAATCACTTTCAAATGAAGGTACTTACGCCTGTGACATGTAGAACCTTCGTATAGTGTATTCTGGCAATCACACTTTATATTATCTTCCGTCTGATTACAGCTTGCGCCGTTTTGACATGGATTTGGATTGCAATAATCTTTTAATGTGCACGAGTTATACACAACACCTTCATCGTTGTAAGTAAAAAAATGCTTTGTATCTTTTAAATCTTTTCGTACACTTTTAATATCATCATCATTAATTTTTATGTCTCTCATGCATCCAGTGAAACCAAATCCAATATTTATATATCCATTAAAATAAAAAACATTGTTTAAATTTGATAGTCTTGTTTTTCCATCAACTGTAAACTTGATAATATACGTACCATCAGTTGCAGGAACATTGTCGATTTCAAAAGATGCGTTGTGCCACTGTCCATCATGATAGTTTTCTGTTGCCGTTTGAATGATCTGAATATTTCCTTTAAATCCAACACTAACTCCAACTCGTCCTTTTCTGTCAATAATTAACTGGATCATATCACCTGTATCTATTGTAGTATAGTTTGCAAGTATTTGCTCGTTTATAACAGTTCGAAATTTCAAAGAGATTTTCATCGACTGTATTGTATAGTTTTGTGTGAAAGCAATATGAACAGCAGATGAAGGAAAATACAACGGAGAATATTGTAAGTCAGCACAAGGTATAGCCGGTTCCCCTATATGCTTATAGTTAGGAGAATTCATAACTAAAAAGTCGTAAGTTTTACCATTAGTTTCTGGCAAATGTTGACTAAAAACAGCTTCGTTAAAGCAAGCTTTAATCCCTTTACGTGATAAAGATTTTTGCATGCTTATTTCAGAAGCCTGGAACGAGTAATATCCACCAAACGTTATCATTGAGATAGGTAACTCAATATAAGTAGGTGGCGAAAGAACAAAAGAATACTTTTCCATTTTTCCTCGACCACGGTCTATATAAATAATATTGTCTCTCACGTTTCGTATAAATTCTACAGTATGCCATTTGTTATCAGCCAGATCTATTCCAAGATACATTTCATAAAATCCATTTACAGGACGAAGTTGATTTAAAGGTCCGTTTCCAAAGTTTGCCGCAATTCTAATGTAAGATTTTAAAACTTAATTTCAAAAATTGAAAGCTAAAAACATAAATTATCATACTTTTGTTTACCTTATTTTTCCCCTGAACAATTCCATTGACAAAAAGCGCTCCTTATCAGCTCCTTGAGCTAACATAATTAAGCCTGTCGCTTCAATTGTTTTGAACCGAAGTTTAATATAGTTTTCTCGTGTTGTTATTTGTTCTTGATGAAAAACGCGAAACGCATCAGAGCTTATTTCAATATCTGGTAAAAAAAAAAAATGGAAGCCATATTTATTCATGTTCAATAACTACGCAATGTTTAATACTATATTTATTTGCACAAATAAACTTACCCGATTTGATAAAATTAATAACAACAAATGCAGCAAACAACTGAAATATAATTCGTTTCATGACCTATAATAACTCCGTATTATCTTTAGATATTACAAATAGAGAAAAAGCAAAATGAATTTAAAGATTTTTTTTTTTAAATCTACTTTTTATATTTTAATTTTTTTAGTAGTTACACGTAAAATAAAATGAAACATCGTTCCTATTTGCTAACAATAATTTGATAATTATGAGTCAGCCAAAGAGTTGGATCATGAATCGGTAACGAAAGCGGTTTGAATACGTAAGCATCAAACCAATTCAATAAATTTCAATACACCATTAATAATTTAAAATAGTGTGCAATGATTTTTTATTAATAAATTGAAGCACTATATAAATAAAGAATGTGTTATTAATTGCATAAAAGTTGCAGATGTTTGCTACGTAATGAATGAATTTTTTTTAAACGAGTGTTGTTGCAAATTTTGCAGAAGGAATACAATTTGAAACACATACTACAGCCGTTTTTCAAAACGGCTTTTTTGAAACGCATATAACAAATGAAAATTTTTTTGTAAAATTTTCTTTTAAGCTATTTTGTAATATTATGAAAAATAAAAAAATTGTTTCCACATAATAATTTAAAATTAATTACATTTTTTTATACATACCTATCTTACGTATGCCAATAAAGCTTTGAGCAGTGTTCGCAAATCCAAGTTAAAATCGCTTCAATTATGTCCAAAGCAATGTTGAACATAGAAAAACTTACTCAACGAGCACTGGATACAAACATTAATGCAAACTAGATATGATACCTGCAGCCGTATTTTTATCTCCCCGTTAAGCTTAACGGAGCGTTTGTCAAAAATTTCATTACAACATTTCTAAGTAAAGAAATCACAAAAACTTTATTTAAATTTGGTTAAATAAAACTAAGATTAAAATAAAACAATTTTATTTTTAAAATTATTTTTTTAAAGAATTTTTTTATTAATGTAGTTAAAAAGAACTTTTTTGACAAATGCTCCGTTAAGCTTAACGGAGAGATGAGAATACGGCCACAGAACATTTTACAACAAACTTTTAGAATTATGATATAAACAAAATGAATATAAAAGCAACAAAAAACTTTAAAATATCATTTGAATCAACAAAACTCTTCAGATTCTTGAATCCATTTTGTGATGTTTATATAACTAGTTAATTTCTAAAAACAAAATAATTTGAAGTAGTTGATCGAACCTATAAAAATACGGGTTTTTGTATGCATCTTCCACAACGAAATTTATACTATTTCCTTATATATATATATATATATATATATATATATATATATATATATATATATATATATATATATATATATATATATATATATATATATATATATATATATATATATATACTTGCTTAACATTGCTATAGTTTTCCTGGAGATCTTCAGAAATGGAAATTAGTAAATGACGCTTAACACCAGAATCTTTGGCCAGAAAATTGGTGAAAAGTCTTTTTGATGGTGGAGATTGTATAACTGAAACTTTTTCCATGATTCCAAAGCTTACTTTTAGAAAACCATCACCACCAACCACCACCATCATTCCCTACCAGATTCATAATGTAGTAATCAATGAGGTTTATAGTGTCAAAAACTTGCTGACAAAGAGGTTTCAAGTCTTTGCAGTGAATGACAAGTTTATCCACCTGATTTGTGCCCTTTTAGTTGCAACTTTGATCTAAGTTTTGGTAAAATATCTTTCAAGTTTTTTGCTCAACTGGTCAAACTTAAACAGGAAGTTCTTTTATACATTGCGACTTAAAACAACTTGATTTAGTGTTGACACCAGCTTTTTCAGCCCTGTGTTGTGTGCACATAAACAAGATCTTTTGCTGTCAGTTCTGGTTCTTTTTTGAAAAGTCTTCTTGAAGAAGTTCTTAAAGATGAACCTTTGAAATAATTAAGAAAGATTATACATTATTATGCATTACATAGACCTAAAATATGTAGCTAAAACTTTAAATATCTAATACAATGCTACCTGGAAGAACTGGAATAGAGTGGCCTCCTATTCCCTCTGGTCTACTAAGACGAACTGTTGCATGGGTTGAAGCTTCCTTGTTGGCAATAACTGATGCTGCAACTCTTTCAGCTGTAGCAAAGTCCTTTGACACAACTTCTGCTAAGTTCTTTTGCATATTGGACTTTGAGCAAATGTGTGGAAGACTCTTGCCAACTATTGAAAAGCATTGAGAAAGTCTTCTTTCAACTGGGTTCTGGTTTGCTTTAGGTTTCTGGGTTGCCAAGACTGGATGTGGAGATGTACTTTACTTTGCCAGCTGAGCAAATCAAACAATCACAAACTAAATCTCTTGTAACTAGACAGACTTTGATATTGGAGAAGTTAAACAGCTATAGTTAGGTTTGAAGCTTCCCCTCCTCAAGTCTCCTAAGGTTGGATTGGCAATGCTTTTAAATGCCAGTTGGGACTTTTAGATCATTAAAGTCAATTGGCTGTTTCAAAATTTGTTGTATTTTTTTTGTCATGAAGCTGATTAAAAAACGACTAGCTTTGCCAAGACACAAGAAGCAAACAGTCTCTCTGTTCTTTTCGTGGGTTTTTGCTCGATTTGGCATATATTTGTTAAATCAGATACTAAATCTATGAAAAAAATGGATTGAATAACTAATGCCCGAGCTTTTTGCCAGAATTTTATCATAACAGTTTATAAAAAAGAAATTTCGATTTTTTTTTTTTAAATTTTTCAGGTACAAAACTCGTATATTCTTTTTTAAATTAAAAAAAGCTCCAATTTTTTTTTATTTTATTCCTAAAACAACTTAGTTAACACAATCTGTCAAAAGTTATGAAGTGAATGAAAGTAAAAGTTATAAAAAAATAAGTTCTATTGCTCTAGAGTTAAATATATTGCAGTAATTTTAATGCAATTTTATGCTTTTGAGAATGGATTTTTTTTCACGGACAGTGTAACTGTCACGGACAGTGTATCTTTGTAACACGGACAGTGTAACTTCCACGGACAGTGTAACCACGGACAGTGTAACTGTCAAAGAAAAGAATGTATAATTTTTAAACCTTTAGTAAATTTTATTTAATTTTATTTAATTTTCTCGAGAAAATAATTCATTTTTTATATAATATGGCTGTTACGCTATCAGAAATAACAAAATTGTTTGAAGGCTATAAAAAAGAATTCGAATTGATGTTAAAACAACAGGAAAAAGTTTTTATCGACATTATTAGTGGAAAATTAAAAATATTTAATGGCAAATAAGAAAAAGTTGAAAAAGATATAGAAGAATTGAAGCATAGTTTAAATTTTCATGAGGTACTAATCGATGAAAAAGTTAAGAAGGCAAATGTTTTCAGTAAAGAAGACAATTCAGAAATTACACGCAAACAAAAAAAGTTAAGGGAGATAGAAGATCGATTGAGACGTAATAGTTTAAGAGTAGATGGAATTAATGAAAATGAAGGTGAAAGCTGGGAGGAAAGCGAACTTTAGGTAAAAAAAAGTTTTTGAAGAATTACTATCTGTTAAAAATGTCCAAATTGAACGGGCACATAGAACTGGAAAAAAAGAATCAAATAAGCCGAGAACAATAGTGAGAAAACTTTTGGATTTTAAAGATAAAGTTGCAATTTTGAGCAAGTCAAGCAATCTGAAAAGGAAAAACATCTATATAAACAAGGATTTCTGTTCTGAAACAACGCCAATCCGGAAAGGTTTGAGGAAAAAATGAAAATTTTTACTATTACTTATTTTAAATTAAACTGTTTTTATAATGGAGGAAAATTTCGTAATTAAATTTTCGGATGAAAATGACATTCTCGGTGATTATGACACCGACTTAAATTATCTTAATCACAAAATGTTAGAAAGTAAATATTACTCCGTTGCAGAATGTTCGTAACATCTTAAACAAAATAAAAGCACTTTTTCAATTTTAAATATCAATATTCGAAGTTTGATTAAAAACATTGAAAATTTGAAAATATTATTAAATGGACTTAAACACGATTTTAAAATTATATGTCTGACGGAAACTTGGTCTAAAAGTGGTGAAATAAGTTATGAATTTGATCTAGTTAATTACGCATCAATTCACCAACCACATGAATTTAATGCAGGTGGGGGCGTTCGTATTTTTATCCACGATTCACTTATATATTTATTATATTATATTTTACGTAACGACCTCTGTGTTAATGAAACAGTTTGTAAATCATTATGCATTGAATTAGTAAATAAAACTGAAAAAAACATAATTATAAATAATATTTAGAGACCACCATCTGGTAACATGAAAAAGTTTAAAACTCATCTTAAAACATTTTTAAACAAAATTAAAAATTCCATGAAACATATTTATTTGGTCGGGGATTTTAACAACTACGCTTCTAACAATAATGCTAAGAATTTTATAAATACTCTTTTAGAAAATAAATTCTTAGCAACCCATAACATTTTAATTAACAATATTGCCACAAAATCCACAAAAATTTTGATAATAGTCCTCTTTTCACAGGTATAGTTCAGACTGATTTATCGGGTCATTTTCGCAACCAATAACATTTTAATAAACAATATTGCTACAAAATCCACAATATTTCGGCATTAAATTGCAATCAACATTATTTTTCAAACAGCATTTTAAATGCTGTTTGAAAAATAATGTTGATTGCAATTTAATTTTGCAATCAAGTGATGCTAACAATGCTTATAACTTTTTTCTTGGTCAATTTTGCAAGCAATGTGAAACAGCGTTTCCAGAAAAAGAAATAACCATAATTACCAAATCACTTCATAGTCCCTTGATGTCAATAGGCTTACTAAAATCTTCAAAAAAGAAAGAAAAATTATATATAAAGTATCTTAAAAAAAAAGTTCTGGAATTAATTGGAAAAAAAAAATTACAAAAAAAAACACTCTGCCAAAAAATCTTTTAGTTAATGGAAAATTAGTTTATGATAAACCTATTATAGCTGAAGAACTAAACAACTACTTTGTTAATATTGGTCCAAAATTGGCTGCTAAAATTCCATCTAATTCCACTCCTTTTGATTAATGCTTAAAAACTTATGACAAACTTATGAACGAAACTAGTTTGAGCTGAGAGCTGCATTTAGCAGTCTCAAAAGTAAAAAAAGTAAAGGTTTTGATAAAATTAGTATTGATATTGTCAAATCAGTATTTGATATTATTGAACCTTCT